TGCCAAAGAGCTGTTTTACAATGACACCCCATGGATGCCAGTTGAATCAAGTATTACCTTGTGTAATGAAAATATCCCTCGTCCCATGGCTATCCATTTTGGAATTCAAACAACCAGGCATCATACTCTGGAAAACAACACAGTTGACAACTTTTCGCCATTCTCCTTTCATTTTGAACAGCAGGAACAACTAACAGTTCGAATCAAGAACATAATTTCTGCATATCCATCAAAGAAGGACATCCTCAAAGAGCTGCTCCAAAATGCTGACGATGCTGAGGCCACAGAAATTCATTTCATTTGGGACAGACGGCAGCATGGCAAAGAAAAGACATTTGGGGAGAGATGGAATGATCTGCAGGGTCCGGCCCTCTGTGTGTTTAACAATAAAGTGTTTTCTGATGATGACTTGAAAGGCATTCAACAGCTGGGGGAAGGAGGAAAACAAAATTTACAAGGAAAGATAGGTAAATATGGAATTGGTTTCAACTCTGTTTACCTCCTGACTGACTGCCCCTCAATTCTTACTGGAGATGCATTTCTTTGTATTTCAGATCCCAATCAGAAATTCATTGAAAATCACTCAGATTGCCCTCGAAATGGCATTGGATATATAGTAAATGATAGGTTAAAGATGTACATTGATGTGTACGAATCCTTTCTTCCTGATCACTTCATCCTTACAGAAGGCACAATGTTCAGATTACCTCTAAGAACTTCTACCATTGCAGAAAATTCAAAGATATCAAAACAAGAAGTCACTGATAAGGACATAAGTGAACTTTTCTCTGCCCTGTATGAAGATCCAGAAGGTCTAATTCTGTTTCTAAAAAACATCTGCAAGATAAAAGTTCATGAAATCAATGACACTTCAGGAAAACTCAACACCATTTTTGTGGTTGAAAAAAAGTTGTCGCAAGAAAGTGTTGAAGAAAAGGATGGATTTGAAAAGCAATTGCAAATTGCATTGCACTCCGACAAACCGATAACTCCTTGTAACATTTTCTATGAAATTGAAATTTCCATTTCAGATAAAAGACAGAGTGTTTGGATCATTGCTGAACAGTTTGGCTCATTTCAAAATGTCAAATTCAAACTACCAAACAAACTTCCTCAAGTGGCAATTGCTGCACTTTTAAACACAAATTATCCAAACTCATTCCTGTCCAGTTTTAATGATTTCCAAGGTACTGCCTTCTGTTCACTCCCATTGCCTGGAAAAACTGGACTGCCAGTTCATGTGAATGGAAACTTTGAAGTAGATTCTTCCAGAAAACACATGTGGAATGAAGATGGTCAAAGTCAGAAGTCCTACTGGAATGAGTCATTGAAAAAAAACATGATTTCTCCTTTGTATGCAGTTCTTTTGGATTTTATCAAACACAAAGCTAAAGGCAGTGCAGATCTTTTGTTAAGTACCGGATCATCTTATAGGATTTCATACTTTTGTTTTTGGCCAGTTGTGTCCACAACTGTCGCTCCAGAGTGGCATGAAATGATAATGGAGGTTTATAGGGAAATCAAGAAAAAATGCCTTGATGTTATCCCTGTTTTGAGGATTTCCAAAGAAGAAGTTCAGGGTCAGGATGGTAATGTGTCTTCTCTTGACTGGTCCAACCTCGTAGAAAGAGAGCCAACAAAGGTTCCTTACCTGAAAGACTCAGCAAGTGAGAAGATCTTTCCCATTTTGGAGGGTCTTGGCATGAAACTAGTTCCTCAAAGCATGCACAAGGTTTGGAAAACTATCCAAAAAGCTGGGATTAAGGTCAGGTTTGTCTGTCCTGCTCATGTAAGGGAATTCCTGTGTGCAAAACCTCTGAATGATCCAACAAAAACGGATGAAGATTTACCATTACCCTTAAATTGTACTTTAATTGGAACTGAAAAAAGGTGCTCAGAGCTACTTAACTATTGTCTGAAAAATTTCTGGCTGGAGGAAATTAAAGAGAATGATTCCACTTTGCTTGATGGGCTTCCCCTTCTTCTTACAAAAGATAAGATTTTGCGAAGGTTTAACTCTATGAAACCAAAGGTCATTGCAAAATATGATGATCTATTCCTTGAATATGAGGATCAGTTTGCAGATTATGCAATCAATGCACCATTTTATGTTATTCTCAAAAACTTTAACCTTGTCAAAATGTTGACACTTCCTTGTGCAGCAAAAGCCTTAAAATCAATAGGTGAAAAACTCCTCCACCATCACTGTAAAGTTGATCCAGACATTGGTCTGTATATCCCAAATGAAAAGATGTTGAAGTGGCTGGAATTACTTTGGAAGTTCATTGCAAGTGAAATAAAAGATGAAAGTCTGACATTAGTTGACGTGAGGAAGCTCTTTAGTGAGTGTAGCTTTCTACCAGTTGTTTGTCCAATTTTAAACGACAAGAGCCTTCTTCAGACAATGGAATGCATGTCAAATGTGATTCCAAATGCATCACCAAAGAACATATCACACATCCTCTTCAAACTTGGTTTCCTTAGGCTCGATAATATTTTCTTTTACAAGGCAATATCAAGGGCATCTTTAGATGGAGAATTATTGGATGTCAATGACAAAAGGTCAGTCCTGAACCATATCTGCAGTATAAACCAATCAAAGTTTTCTCAGCTTTCAAATGATGATATGAAAGAACTTCAGATCTTCCTACAGTCTGGGATATCAAAGTCTAAAGATCAGAGAGACTATCAGCAGAAATTTAAATCTTTACCGATATTCGAAACAATACTTGGTGAAAGAACAAAGATCGATGGACCCATGGAGGTGTTTTTGCTAAGCAGCAAATATTCAGCAGAATTTCCATATCTGTTCACACTTTCTAACAGCTATAGCATTTTTCTGAAACCCAACCCAGAAAACCAATCTCTGTCACAAGTTTTTCACATCAAGATTCTGACTGATTTGGAATTTTTCATGAAGTTCATTTTGCCTTTTGTACAAACATTCACAGAGGAGGAAATTCTTAAATGCCTCAAGCTAATACTGAAACTTTATAATGAGGAAAATTTTTTCCTGCACATAAAGGGAATTGTTCGCTCACTGAAGTCATTGAAACTAATTCGCAGTTATCAAGGCGAACTGGAAAGTGCTTCATACTACTATGATGACACTGTTGAGCTTTACAGAAAAATGATGCCCCGGGAGAGATTCGTGCCAGAGAAATTTTGGACTGAGCTTTGTGAAAGAAATCCACATGTCAAAAAACGAGCTAAAAATCTTGTCGGAGAAATTGGAATGAAACATGAGGTGACTGAAGATGATATAATCACCTTTGCATACCAATTGGAATCAGAAGCAAAATTAAATCAGAATAATGAGCTAAAAGGAAAATCCAACTTCCTTTTCAGAGAAGCCTTAAAGATTATAAGCAATAACAAAGAAACAGGGTTATTGAGAGGAATTGTTGATATCAAGTTTGTCTTTCCAGAAAAGATTCGAGAGGATCTCTGCAATTACCATCAACCGTTTGCTTCAGAGAATACCACAGTTCAAATGAGAGGATCTTTGATTGATGGAGATCCTAAACATCAGGATTTGATCTGGTCCTCAATGCCAATCATACATTTGCCAGTTTATATCAGCCAGACACTCTTACAAAATCTGAAAAAAGTAGAACTTCACACAAAGCCACCATCACAGTACGTCACCAGAAACATTGGCAACATCTGTCAATCACCATGTAAATCTGAGCAAATGATAAAAACCAGAGCAGAGGTGTTTCGACATGCGTATGCTTACCTGCAGACCAATGGCTTTGATAGTCAGTCATTGTATGGGCTTCCTGTTGTCTTGGTTGAAAAAGATACTGTTCTTTTTAAAGCTGACTGTGTCTGTCTCTCACTTCAAAATAACCTTGAGTTCAGGCCTTACTTGTATGCAATCCCTTCGGAGGATGCCTTGTATGCAGAGTTCTTTAAGAAAGTTGGTGTGGAGAAGGAGGCAACTGCAAAGCACTACTGTAATGTGCTCGCAGCTGTTTATGCTGATTCCTCTGATAAACAGCAGCTAAATGCAAATCAGTTGATCACTGTAAAACGAGCAGTTCATCACTTGTTTCTCTTAATTAAAACTCAAGGAAACCAGATCCTCAGTGGTGTAGTTCAAACTTTGTATCTTCCTGCAGTTGATGGAAAGTTACAACCGTCAAGTTCACTCTACTACAACGACACAGTGTTTGAAATCAAAAGGTTGAAGGACGGACTGGAAGATAAGTTTCTGTTGCTTGAGAAACTCAGTGAATGTCATCTGGGCAGTGATGTGTATGAGCATCATCGACTTGTGAAAATGTTACCTTCGAAACTTCAGCCTAAAATGTTGTCAAAAATGACCAGTGAGAAAGTTGTGGAATCAGACCTGAAGCTTTGTGAGCTTGGACATGGATGCGAGTT